TAGCTTATGACTTTGATCTACAGTTTTATTTTTATTCCAAAAGATTTTGCTTTTATAAAAACTGGTAATAGTTCTGAGGATGTTCTTGAAATTTCTGGCAAAGCGTGGAGGTAGCTAGTTGAAGGTGAGTCTTGAAAGTGGCAGGTTTTCTAAGCTTAAGGAAGATAAAGAGATTCTGTTGGGGGAGAGGATGTTCTGAATGAACTCCACAAACACAGGTTTTATGGACCCCACTCCACCACTCCCCCCAGGCCAAAGTGATACAAGGCACCAAGGACTGCAAATCCCATAATGCCAATCACGGTTATGGTGATGGGAGGCTTGCTGGGAACTAAGGGTGGAGTTAAGCAGCCAGGCTTGGTATATAATCAGAGACAGCTTGGCCTTGGGGGTTGTTGGTTTTTCACAGGCCTTCAGCGTGCTGTTGGTATCCCAACTCAGCGGAACTGGTAGGACACATTCAACAATTTATTACTCTCTCTTTCTCCCTGGGTTAGTCCACCCTTTATTTTCCCTTTTTGTAAATAAACCCTTTATTAACCTTTTCTGTGTGCATCTGCAGTTGAGTCTCATTGTAAACCCCTTTTAAATGCATGGGTGAGGACCCACACTCAGGCCAACCCATTTCACATTGGGGTTGCTCTGTAACAATTCTAAGGCCAGAAAACAAACCCAGCTGCAAAATTCTAAGTATGGCTGAAGTGCTTTGTTATGGCTTGTGGTGGGACTTTGGCAAGAGATGAGACTATGGACATAACCAAGGACAAGGTGACATAAGGTCTTTTGTATTCTAAGGTGCTTTATAAGCTGCACTGAGGTGCCTTTATCATATCGTGAAATTGATAGTGATGGATGATAAGAAAACTTGGAAAGGAGGCATCACAAGGCCAGAAGCTGAAGATAGGGGTGAAAATATTTAACATTGTCATTTAACAAGCTATATAAAAAAAGCAAAGAATCCTGAGGCACAGACTGGAGGTGGGGATATGGAGATTGAGGGCCATTGTAAAAGAATCTTCAGTCCTTCCCAATTGACCTATTCAAAGCAAGTAGAGAAAGAACCCCCAGGTGCCAACCCTAGAAATAATTTAAGAGCAGTTAACAATCCAGCAAAGGAATGCGCCCCTCCCAAAGCAAAGAATACTCTAGCATTGCAATCTCTGCACCTGCTCCTGGCAGCAGCCTTTCTGCCCACCTGTGCCTATGCAGGTGTTTCTTTTTACTAACCTTTTCCATCTGCAGGGCATCAGCCCTCCTTCCTGCTTGTGACTCGTACACGCTAGAGTTTCTCTTCATGGACCTCCCTCAGCAGAGTCATCTCTCCTCCCAAGGCTGCCCGCCAGCCACCATGCAGGCCTCTCTTAGCAAACCTGTCCCCTTCAGGGCAGCCCTTTCTGCCTGCTTGCATCTATGCAAGTGTCCTTTATTCTTCTCTCCCTTTATAATAAAAGGGATAAAACTAATGCCTCTGTCCCATGGAGAAATTCACCTGAGAAACCCTCCAGTGCTACTGAAGGGGGAGTACTGGTGAAACTTTTCCCAGCGTTAACCCAAAGACCCCGCTCTTTGAACCTAACATTTCCGAAAACGACTTCAGTAATTAAGTTGCTTTAGAGTTCAATTAAAATCAAATGAAGATTTTCTTGTGAATTAAATGTTAAGCAAGTATTTATGATGATTGCAAAACCCAACCAAAGAATGTTCTAAGGCTCGCATTATGAAAAATTTGCAGCTCTAAAAAAAGGAACTCAAAACTTAGAAGTTCACAGGGAATGACTTCATAGTCCTTTTTAATACCAACCTTTTAAACTCTCCAGTGTTTCTAAATACAGCTATTATCAGTTGGAGAACTTTTAACTTAGTTCTTACATGTTGATTTAAGAAAATCAACATTCCTCTGGCTCATTTAGTGGTCAATCATGTACTTATGATAATTCTTCACAAACTTCAAAGCCTGAGTGCCTTATAGTTCTCGTTCACAAAAAGGCACAACTGAGCCCTGATTTACAAATGGAGATATTAAGAAAAAAAAAGGAACTTCAGTCCTTTTTCATTTTCTCACAAAATCATAGTCTACAATTAAGTGTAAATTGATTCAATTTCATGAAAAGAAGAATCCATATACATCATTGTTTTCATCCATTCATTGGGTTGTCTATCAAGAGAGCTTCCGGTTTTAAATTCACCCTGTGGTTGATCCTTTCCACTAGCTACATTCTTGAAAATGTAATCAAAATGAATCCTAAGTCATTTCTTTTCCTAGAGGATGAGCTGAGTCACTCTCTAGGGAAAAGCAAAATTGGCAAGAAAAAAGTTTCCCTGAAGCTACTCTTGAGCCTGTTTGGTGGTAGAAGTTGCTCATGATATCTTTGTGTAATTAGCATTTTTAATGTCTTATTTATAAGTAATAAAGAAATTAAGGGTTGGAGAGATCAAATAAGTTAGAATAAAAGAAAAAATATTACTCTCATGTATTTATATTACAAAGATCTGGATTTTTTTCTATTCAGCTTCCCTAGAGACAAAGACTCCTACTCTGTTTGGGATGTCAATCTTTTGGTCATAGTGTCCCACTAAGTCTGTGTTTTTAAAGATGTGTCACTGGCCCAGCATAAGATTCATAATGTACAGTCTTTAAGAATGTTGACGTTTCTATTACATGATTTTCAGTGTCTGTGAATCTGGGATGTTGTGTCTGGCAACCCATATTTCAACAGGATGATTATACACTTGAAATTTTGGTGGTAGGGGGCTAAAGGGAGTGAGATAAAATTCTCTATATATCCTTCCCTCCTAGGGCTATCACAGTGAGTGAAGGACCAAGCAGGAAGCTTCTCTTCTCAGGCTTCACCCTGGTGAGATTGTCCAGGAGTTTAGAAAGGAAACCTGTCCCAACAGGAGCTAACTAGTGCCTTCCCAAGATGCTTCTACAAGAGTGTCACTTTGCTTATTTTGACCCTTGTCAATCAGCCTAAACTACAAAGGGAATCCTTTTTATAGAAGTTATAGTTTTGCTTTTTTTAAAAAATTAATTTATTTATGCATATAAGAGCTAGGGTATAGGCCAGAGATGTGGGAGGGTGAGAGGATTAACTAGAGACAGAGTGGGGAGTAGAACAAGCAGACTGACTGAAATACACTGCTGAGGGGAGCAGCGGGCAAGACAGGAGAGGTCTGTTTTGCCATGTGGGTTGCTCCCTGGCCGGGCGGGGATCAAACTCATGCCACAGAGGCTGCAGATTGCCTCATAGTGTGGTGCTTAACCCCTTGCATCACCAGGGAGGCCCTAGTTTTGCTTTTTAAGGCTTAAGAATATTGTGACTTTGGATAAAGATAAATCAAAGGTTTTTAAAGATGTTGAATGTTATCAGACAATATTCTTTCCCCAAGTGATACAGACATGAAGCTCATTGAAATCATTATTCTTTCTAAAGTAAAATTTATAGAGTATTTTCTGTTATCTGAGAGTAGGTTTCAAAGGATTGGTGGTGAATTTTTATAGACATGGGAAGAAAAGTTATTTTCACGACTCCTACATTACAGTTTACTGGTTTTCTATCTATATGTAGAAAAGACAGGAGAATAAAAAACACACAATGTAGTTTTTATAATGAGTATCTCACACATATGCCTGTCAATTCAGTCTTTAGTGATGATAGTCCTTTGTGACAGACTATTTTACTATAAGATAGAGATCATTAAAATTTTCTATTAAAACATATTCTCCTATGCTGAGATGTTTCTTGTCAACTAGATAGTCAAAGTGATTATTTTTCTAAATTTTACACCTTTCTCTTTCCCATTGTATATGTCTGCATATAGGGAAGAATCCCCCCCTTACCTACCCCCTCCGCACCTCAACATTCCAAGCTCTCGGGGTAATCAAAATGGCATTATACTGGTTAGCAAAGTCGAAACCATTTTTATATCATGCATATGGAGAATATACATGTTTTTTTTTTAATTCTAAAGAATAATGAAACATGCAGGGAATATTTATCCTGTGTTTAGGGACCAGAAGCTTCAAGGATTTCATTTATAGCAAGATGGGGTGTCTTCATCCTTATTCTGGGAGTAAAGATGAGATTCTTAGAATCTGTTCACTGATAAGCCTATACTTGGATGAGGCCACTGACTACATTCTTCTGGGTCATAAAAGAGGAGCAGTCATTAATTCTCCAATTACAAAAAATGGTAGAAGGAGTCAGGCGCACTCAGTGTTCTCAACTCTAAAAACAATTTGTCCCATAAGAAATGGTCTTAGACCCCCTGAGGCTCACAGGGCTTGATTGACCTCTAGTGTCCATATATCAAGGAGACAGGAGGCCTGCTCTGGGCACATTGAGGAAAGCCTATATGGCCCTTTTGGGGAGACAACCCACATTTGGATCATGGTGATCCATAATGTAGAAAGTTGAACTGTTATTACTGCATTGTAAACCCTAAATCTTTGCTGCATATGTATTGACTTCAAGATAAGTTGATCGTTTGTCTAAAAGATCATATCCAAAGTCTTTTTTTCATTAAATTTTCTATTATCATGTTCAATCCTGGATTTATCCACTATTTTTGCCTAGCAATCAAGCAGTGATCACTGAGCTCTTATAGCCAGTTCTTTCTTACTAGCATTCCATTGCATATGAATCAGTAAAACCAAAGGGAATGGAAATAATGGAAAATATCCAAGCAAGTTGTGGGATTTAAGAACACATTTCAAGATGTGTTTAATATCTCTATGCAAGTGGATGCTGGAAGAAGACAGTTTATTTAGTGGAAAATTCTATTTGACATCAGTAAAATATTACATAGAGATTTATTTTGAATTCTAATCTATTTTATTTATTTCTACATGAAAGATGTGTCTCAAAAGAAGTCAAGCACAGGAATGTCATTTGCTGTGTTTTATTTTGCTATTAGCTTGTTAAACATAACATGCAAATAATCAAAAAGAAACATACACATGACTTAAAGTAAAAAATAATTCTAGAAAAGTTTTACTAGGTAAACTACATAAATTGTTAATACTAAAAATACTGCTCTAAAGGTATGTGGCTTTCTGAATTTTGTTTAGCATTTTGTAAAATCAGAGGACTCAATTTACCACCTATTTTTCAGCTGAACAAATTTGAATGAATTGAGATCATTTATATAGTCCATGCTTTTGGGCATATTAAGATTTAGAAATTATAAAACTTGGCTGACTTACAATAAACCAGTAAAGCTTTGCATATCGTTTGACATTAGAGATGTTAAAAACACTAAATTTACAAATAAATCATTGAATTTGTTCCCTATGTGTGTATCTATATTTGTGCTTGTGATGAAATAGGCCTGCCTTTCATCTTTTCTCTTTTTTAAAAAGTAGTAAAATGTTTACAAAACATTTTCCCTTGGAATTTAAAATTCATAGAAGTAATAAACAGCAACAAGAAATGAATACTATGAAAACTAACACGCAAAAAGACATAACCATAAAATGTTGTTCCAGGATTCACCTCCATGTGACTGAAATTAGTACCTATTAATTAACTGTGATTTCATTGGCTACACGTAGACATTCATACATATCAGGAGGCAGGCTGCTGTGAGTGAGGGGGTTGCCATCCAAACGCAAATGCTTGATCTTGGAGTAGGATAATGGACCCAGGATCTTACAGAAGCTCTTTACGTCAAACTCTGAAAATTGAAAAACAGATACAATAATCAATGTGTTGTAGAACATGGACTTGAAACAATTATGGAAAAATCCTCAAATCCCTAATAATATCTAATGGGACTTATTCCTATTTAGAAAAAATCACGTAATTTATATTTGAATTTGGTAGAGCTAAAGGAACACATCAGACGACCAAATGACACAGCAATGTTCAGTAACTATGGTAGATTAGGATGTACAGTGGAATTTTTCAAAGCATGGATTTTATTCATTATAAGTTCTTGATTTAGATACACTTGATTTTGGACAAGACATTTATTAGATGTGTCACGTTATTTTAAGACCTTTCTCAAAATATTTAGTCTAGCATGAAGATATGTAATGTGCAGGCTGGCTGTTGTAGGAATAATCTCACTAAGAAAAGCATCCTGGGGTTTTACAATGTAAGATAAGCACTGACTAGATGACCTTTAAAGAGTTTCCCAACAACCATCTACCATAGCAATGATTTAAAATTCAAAATCATGGAGTGTTTACGATCGGAGCCACATTTTTTTTTTCTTCTGTGGCCAAACAAGATGCCACAATGAAACACTAGTTACATTTTTAGTGGAGATTAAGTCAGATACTTTATAACCGTTGTGTGTGCACAAAAACTGCTTAGTTTGCCCAAGTATGTTTTAGATTAATCTTTTTTTAAATTTTGTTATTTGCTTTCATTCTCAAATTCTGGTTATACTGACTTTAGTTCTCTAAAAGGTCATGTGCTTTGGTGGCCTGGTGTGGTAATATACATTTGAAGATATGTAAGCCCATATCCCTAAATCATACAATGATATAAACCAATGTTACCTCCAAAAATAAAACAATCTTTTAAAAATGACACCACACTCTTTTCCTCTAAGATGGTGCCTTAAAGAAATAATCAAATTCCAGGGATCTTTCTTATGATACCTGCCTCTGGAAGGTCTAAAACTAGAGGGAAAAAATGAAAAACATGGGTTTACTCATATGAATTTTCTGTATCTGGCATTTACCAACTGGTTTTGACTTTGGAGATATATCTGATCTTGTTAGAAATAACATTTATCAAATGTCAATATGTGAAGATTAAATTAAGGTATTTATCAATTTAGGTAACACCATATATTGTTTGCACATAATATGTAGTAAACAATTAGTAATTTCCTTTTAAATTTGTTCTCATTTCAAATTACATTAGGAAGAACTGTGATTAGGTAAATGCTTAGAGTTATAAATCTGAAACATGAGAAATAATCTTTGTCTATTTCTTATGTTGAATATTAAGGGGTCTTTTTATGAAGAGAATGTGGACTATTGGTATTTATGACAAAATAAACGGATTTGAAGATATAAATACTACATCAAACTACCAGTCTACCTGACCAAATGTCAAGGATAAGGAAGCAAGGTAGCCACTCATTTTCACATGACCACATGTGCAGAGAACTGTGTTTTTTATCTCAGCTTGGCACGGAGTGGCTATTGTCAATGTTCTGAGAGCATCTTCCTCATTGTCTTCCAGCTTTAGCTAATACAGTAAGACCTGGGCTTAATACTTTAAATTCCCCTACATATAGACCCCTTTATTGTCTAAGAGAAGAGGGAAGGAATATTCAGCTTTGATAACTTGAGTATTTCCTATATAGAAAATTAACATATGGCATTTCAGAATTGGCCACATATTCCTTCACGTGAACACCACAATCCTACCAATAGTACATGGAATTGTTACTATCATAGATATGACACATTTTTGTGTCTTATTCTTGCTTTTGTTTAATTTTTTTCTGACAGCAAATCCAATATCCTTCTCTAGTAGGACAAGGAAACCAACTTTCATGGTGTAAAGGTGTTCAAGTTCAATAGATTAAGTTGCAGATATTATTGCTTTCTGTAAATCCGTGTTTTCCATTTGATTTTTTACTTAAAAAGCATTAGCCATGAATCAAAGATATTTTTTCTGCCAAGCTCTGGGAGAGTAAGTTGGGGAATTATGAATGTCAATTTTCCATCTGAATCTGTATTGCTTAAATTGAAAAATGTCCCAGAAAATGACAAAAAAAAAGTGAGTGTATAAATGGCTCAGTGGGTCAAACTCCCATCCTTAAGATAAAAATAAAGTAAGTCATCAAGAGAAAATTTTGAAGGAGAAACGAAGAATCAAATGAGGTAATGGGGTACATCTGAAGAAAGGGACCCTATAATGCTATTTAATAAAATATTCCAAATCCCATTATATTTCTTTTCTTCATAATCTTCCTCACAGTCCTCTTAAGAACACTGCAAAGACCACACATAACATAACACACATAACACAACAGGACAACAGAGACAGATGATGGTCATGACAGCAAAGTAATATGCTGAGTCCCAAGAAAAGATGTCAGAGAAGACAATGAGAATACATGGAATGATGAGGAGGAAGGCTCAAATCCACTTCTGGTCTCGTTTTTTCCTCCCTCAGCTGGATTTTGCCAAAGAATAAATGTAAGACACAAATATAAATCACGAATTAGGCAAATAATAGATAAGTATTAAGAGTTAACAGAAAAGGTTTAGTTCCAAATATTAAATTTGAAAAAAAAATATTTAAATTCTATGATCCTAACAGTTTATTATCTGAACACTTCAAAGAAAGACCATATCTTGGATATAATGGAGTGAGAATTCTTCTATATTTGAATTGGAGGAATATTTTGTTGGAGTTTTCATTCACTTAAAAATATGGAGCCAAATGAAATATTTGTGTTGCATAGCTCAGCCATTTCAAAAATGTTGGAAACATCACTCACACACAGGCATAGATTTCTACTTACTTTCAAGTTGATTGACCTCCAGATAGTAGTTTTCAAGGTTTTCATTTACAGGGGGTATTTTTTTAAGCTTATTATAGGAGAGATCCAGCTCAAGCAGGGATGATACATTAAAGGAATTTCCATGAATTCCACTATCAGCCAGTTCGTTATGAGATAAACGCAGGTACTGCAATCCATTAAAATTCTTGAAATATTCCTCAGGGATGCTGCCGATCTTATTGTGGTCTAAGTAGAGAGTTAGGAGAGATACTGGGAGACCAGAAGGCAGTTTTGTTAACTGGTTGAAACTCAAGTCAAGGTACTCGAGTGATTTAAGACCTCTAAATGCTGATGAAATGACATCCTCTTTCAGCTGGTTGTGTTGGAGATGAACGAAGGTCAGGTTGACCAGTCCATCAAGGGAGCCAAGCTTGGTGATCTTATTATGAGTGAGCTGCAGATCCTCCAGAGATTTGGGAAGTGGACCCACTAACTCTGTCAGATTGTTGTGGTTTATGTGCAGCTTCTTCAGTTGCTTCAATTTAGAGAAAACATTTCCTTTTATCTTGGAGTTTTCTAGAAGGTTGTGATCAAGAATAAGCCACTGCAGATCAGTTACATTTTCAAAGGCCTTTTCCTCGATATGGTCAATCTGGTTATTTCTAAGGTAAAGGTACTTGATTCCAGGGGGCACCATCGGCACACTTTTCAATTTCAGTTCATCGCAGTACATGGCAGTTGGATAGCTTTCAGGGCAGTTGCATTCTGGGGCGCAATTAGGTGATGAATACCCATAAATGGATAGGGGGGAATCATAATCATAGTAGACGTGGCCACTGGTACCTCTGATTAATGCCACGAGGAGAGTAAACACACTTAGATTCATTTTTGGCAACTGTCTTGAATCCTAAACAAAGTGGAAACATAGACTGTCATAAAATAATATATACTTAGGAAAAAGAAAGTCGATAGTTTTATTATTATGTATTAAATGCATGGAAATGTGTAGTTGTTATTTTTAGTGCATTTAATGGTGTATTTTAAATTTTGATTTAAGTCTAGGGAAAAGGATGTATGCTTGTAACCTACGGGTTACCAGATTTCTAGTTAGATTGCATACAGAGGTACCCCCTTCTGGGTGAGTCAGACCAAATTGCTCAGGTCAATCTCCCTATGTCCTTCCTTCCTTAAATGCTTTCAGTCAAGAAGTTTCTGGGTAGTATTCACTGATCACCCTGTTAGAACACTGGTTCAATACACCCTTTAAAACCAGAAAAAAAAAATGAAAATGAAAAGACAATTTGTAAACTGTATACTCTACCCTACCATTCAACTTCTTTAATACATTTTATAAAGAAGGCCCTTACAGGGAACTTGGACAATCCATGGTTTTCCTGAAGGAAATCTCTTCTCTCCCTTCTCCCCCACCCCTATCACTTTCTCTTTCTCCCTCTCTGCCTCCCTCAGTGTGTATTTTGGGAAGGGGATGTTTTAAAGAATCTGCTTACTGTTGCTTCTGGGAAGGAGAACAAAATTTTGGGTGGAGGTGTGTGCTCATATTACGTCAAGTTTTGTTTAATATTTCATTCATTTAGGCACATTTCTAAGTAATGTTCTAAGTATATTTAGCATACCTGTTGCAGAAAAACTAATGTTTATTAGTCAGGAAAATTTCACAAAATCTAAAAAAAATTTTAAACTTCCACTGGTAGAGAAAGATGTTCTTTCCCAAGTTTTGAATTAAAGTTTTCCTTTCAGTAACTTACAAGTCTTCTACTTTCTTCATGTCAAAATTTAAGAAGACACAACTTACTTATCTGGAGTTTTAGTGCTATCATGGAATGGAAGTGGGAGAGAAGTGACTATGGAGAAACATCTGTATTCAACAGTAGCATTAGGAACCACGTAGAAAAGATAATATTGAGAATATAAATTGAAAACAATTTGTAAATGTGATTTTCAACTTTCTGGTGACGTACAGGGTCAGCAGTGTAGGTAAAGGGAATTAGGATATAAAGTTGGACTTATGTAGCATGAAATGCTATGATGCAGGAGAAACTGGTAACTCTGGGAGGGAAAACAGTGTGAGGAATACTGTACAATATTATATCTCCCTGTGAGAAGTGGGGTACAAGTGTTTGATGAAGGTAGTTTGGGAAGGTTTTGAATGAAGGCAGTTAGGGATAAGTAGCATTTTTAGTATCAGGAATTTAAATGATTTGCTTTAATATGAAATTATAAATAACTTTAATTTAGCAGATGAAACCCCAAAATAATTTATGAGAAATACTGTGATAGCTGACATACTATATACAATATATGCTCAAATACTTAGTAAATTATTACCTAAGGTTTTGATGGAGTTATTTAGTTTACTTGACCAGATTTGGCCATGGAAACTCTTACATAGTGCCAATGTAATTATATGATATTTAGGTGGGGTTTTTTTGCTGTTTTATATGATTTTTATATTAGTTATGACTTTTTAAATAAGGTAACATTGGTTTAGAATACTGCATATGATTCAGAAACATAAAATCCCACCTCTTCATGTGTATGTTACCATTGTATTACAGTATGTTAATGTAGTAAAGATTTGTCTTGCTTCAATTATAAGATTCCACCTTATTTTGAGCATATACCAAAATAGTCATGGTGAGTATCTATAATGTGAGTATTCAATAGTAATGAAAAAATGCCTTTTTTTTTTGAGAGTAAATACTAGGACTCTAAATTCAAAGAGAGTTTGTAACTATATAATGATTCTACTGTGAAGCAAAATTGCACTTCTAGTTTTTTCAAATTCCTGTGGCTATGGAGGAAATATATTTTTTTAAAGTAAATCATATTTCCCAGAATTTCTTTAAAACACACTCCTTTATATATACACTCAAAAATCTACACCCAAAAATCAAATTTTTGAGATTAACAAAATGGAAATAAGTAATGCATAAGTGTCTAAATCCTTTAGCTTACATTTTATAACAACATAAAAATTATCATAAATTGTAACAAGCCATAACAATCTATTTGTTGAAAAATTTGGATACTGATTGAAATGACTTTCTTTGCTCCCAAACTAGGGTCTAACAATACTCACATGTATAACAAATTTGCATGAAGTAACAAACATCTTCATAGCCATACATTTTCACTGTCTAGTTTAAATAGCTTCTCATTCTAACCCTGAAACTTTTTTATTACTTTGTTTGCCAAAAAAACACTATGTAAAATGTATCTCAAATCCATAAATCATGGAAAGCATAGTAGGAAAAATCTGAAAGTAAATGCTCAAAACTGTAGATTTGCTGTTGACTGGCAATTGGCAAAGTTGCTCTGGAATTTTTCCTGTTCCTGTTACAATAAACACTGTCCCAAACAGTCAGCACCCCCAGTGCTATAGTTAAAGCAGCACTTACCTTGCTGTCTTGACACTGCTTTCGTTAATTCTTAAAGCAGATGCACTGTGGACAAGAATCCACCAATATATGCTGTGAACTCTGTCAGGACGAACTGGCTGCCAGATTCTTAGTGATACAAGAGCTGAAGGGGGTGGGGGAGAACTCAGCCTCCTCACGCCAGTCTCTGAATGGAGTTATGTCATTGTGGAGATCTTGTGGTGTGGCATGTGAACGCGCTGCTCTCTAACGAAGTGCAGGTGGACATGAGAAGGAGGGCCGTCTCATTCATTCCCTATGGAATGGGAGCGAGCTCTCTGCTTAACAAGTCCAAACACCATAGCTGTAAACCAGGAATGAAGCAAAGTGGGGCAACTTCAGTGAGACTCATTCTCTTACAAAACATTTTCCTTCTGTAACTCTGGCTACAGTTAAGTGTGATTCTCTCAGCTAACTCTCATGTTCATCGGAGGGTCTCATAAGTCGTAAATAGAGATAGTTCAGGAAAATGCAAATGAGCTGGGACTCAGCGGAATTAAATCATTTTTGCCCATTACTCTTACAATCTATATTGATTTTCTTGGACTAACTTAATTTTTGGCCATGAGGGTAACTTATAGTAGTTTCTAAGCTATGAAAAAATGCTTCATCCACACTCTGAGACAAAAGATAAATATTAACATTTCCTGTTTGCTTGTTATATTAAAGGGGCTCATTTTATGTTGCTCTTGTCTGGAACCAATCAACAATGTCTGCCTGTTTCTTATTTTGTGTACTGAATTTAGGAATTCACCCAAAACCTTACTTGGGGATAGTGTTCTATAATTTAATGCCAAAAAGCATGAAAGAACATGAAAAAAATAATAAATGTATGCTAAAAATATCACAAGGCAATAATCGTCCACTGTCACTGCATGTTGGCAATATTTTTTCAAAAGTAAAAGTTATACAGTGTTTCAGTCTCCTAAAGGCCTGGTTTGATACATGCATGCTTCTAGTAAATGAGAGAACCACTTAATTTATCTTTTATTTTATGATAATATTTTTCCTCCAATATTTTATTGCCTCATCTTTATAATAACTCTTAGAATCAATATTTTAAGCTGCCACATTGGAAGATTTCCTCATTTAAAATTACAAATATATCACTTTTCAGTTGTGAGACCTGTGTAATGTGAATGAATTTTTATGACCACTAATGTGTTTGTCTGAAAAGTTATTAGAATAATAATGTCTTATTTTTGTCATGGAACTATTAAATAACAAAAGATGGTGGAATTGCAGGGTGATGCATAAGCATATCATTTTATTCTTATTTTAAGAGTAATATAAATGTCTTTGATTTATAATAAAGGAAATGAATAAACTTAGAAAATCAAGAACAAGAAAAGACTAGACCAAGCACACATTACTTAATGACTTTTTGTAAGGAGATAATTAAGACAACTTTAAGCACTAACATTGAATGCATCAATTCTATATTCTAAAATTAAAAATATTTCCACCTACTCCTAAAATATTTTTATGAGACTATAAACATGTTGGGGTGTCTGTCATAGAGATTAAGTGCATTAAAATAAATTAAGCTCATTGTGTAACTGATTATCATCAACATATAATTTTCTTCAATAAAACCATTTTGGTCCAACCAATAACTGGACAAAATTGCACATTTTAAAGTTTATTTCTTGGGTGTGTTATAAGTTAAATAAATTCTACAGTATACACTTACAAACTATATTACCCCATGCTTTAGTCTTCAGAATTTTTATATATATTTAACTTTGAGTATCATGCCTTCAAATCTAATAAATTTTCACATTATCAGTAGTAGAAATGGAGACTCAGGGGCCTCCCCTGGTGGTGCAGTGGTTGAGCGCTGGGCTGCGAAGTTGCCTGCAGCCTCTGCAGCGCCTGTTCATTCCCTGGCCGCCAGCGAGGGTCCCACAAAAAAGAAAAAAAAAGAAATGGAGACTCAGGTATAAATGAATTACTAAAAATCACGTAACAAGTCAATGAAAGAAGTATATTGATACAGTATCTTTACTCCCATGAAGAGGGTAAACAGTTTTTAAAGTTTTGTCCAATTATAACCAGTTTGAACTAGTTTGTTCTGGTCAGAACCAATTTTGTCCCATCAGAGCCATTTTGAAATGGATTTCTATGGTCAGAACGTGTCAGAATGGGTGTGAATAGGTTTGAACTGGTTTTTTTCCAGGCAGTAACTGTTTGAACTGGTTTTATTCATAACCTGAGACTTGTTTTGAACCTATTTTATATTGTCAGACTGGTTTTATCTGGTTAGAATTGGTTTGAACAAGTTTTAACCTGTCAGAACTGATTTTTTTTCCTGGCCAGATACAGTCTGAGCAGGTTTTATCCATTTAGGAACCAGTTTGAACCAGGTTTTTTCCTGGCCTGAAGTGGTTTGAACCATCCAGGACCAGTTTGAACCAGTTTTCTTTGGTCAGAACTGGTTTTATCTAGTCAGAAACATTTTGATCGAGTTTTAACTGAACAAGTTAGAACTGGTTTAACTAGAACCAGTTTGAACTTTCTTGAACTGTTTTTATCTGGTCAGGACCAGGTTTATCCTATTTGAACCATTTTAAAGCAGTTTTAACTGGTCAAAACTAGTTTGAACAGATTTTGTCAAGTCAAGATAGGTTTCAACCTATTTTATCAAGTCAGACAATTTTATCTAGTCAGAACCAGTTTCAAACAGTTTGAGCTAATTTTAACAAGTCAGAACTGCTTCGAAAATTATTGAACAGGTCTGAACCAGTTTGAAAGGGTTTTATTCTATCAGAAACAGTTTGAACAGCTTTATCTGGTCAAGTCAATTTTGACCAGTCAGAGCCTATTTTTAACCATTTTGACCCACTAGTCAACACCTGTTTGAATGAGTTTAAACAAGTTTTAGCCAGAGGAAACATGTTTGAACCAATTTTATATGGAAAGAATCAGATTTTTCTGGTCAATACTGATCTGAGCTGGTTTTAGCTAGTCAGCATCAGTTTGGACCAGTCAGAATCTCTTTGAACCATTTGAAGTGCTTTGAAGCAGTTTGAAATAGTGTGAACTGGCTTGATTCCATTTAATCTGGTCAGAACTGACTGAATCATATTATCTGCTTAGAACTACTTTCAACTTGTTCAGCAGGTCAGAACCACTTTCAGCTGGTCAATACCAGTTTGAATCAGAATCAGTTCAAACTGTCTGAAATATTATGAACCAGATTGAGTTTTTAGCTGGTTGAACCTGTTTGAATCAGTGTAAACAGTTTTAACTGCTCAGAACCAATTTAAGCTGATTTTATTTAGTTAAAACCTTTTTTTATCTGCTCAAAATCATATGAATGGGTTTTATTTGGTCAGAACTAGTTTGAACCAGTTTTATCTAGTCAGAATTGGTTTCAAACATTTTATCTGGTCAGCGTGAGTTTTCAGCAAGTCTGAACCAGTTTAGGTCTGAACCAGCTTAATTCAGTTTTCTCCAGTCAGAACCACATTTTACTAGTCAAAAATGGTTTGAGCCAGTTTTATCAGGTCAGAACCAGCTTTAACCCCTTTCAGCAGGTCAGAAACATTTGAACCACCTTGAAACATTTTTATGGGTAAGAACCAGTTTTTACCATTCAGAAATAGTTTGAATCAATTTTGAAATGGCCAGACCCCTTTAAGCCAGTTTTATCCAGTGAGAACAGATTTTAACCATGTGAAGCAGGTTTGAAAAGTTTTGAAATTTTTTGGGGGGGCGGGGACAGAATCAGTTTTAACTAGACAGAATCAGATATAACTGGTTTTAGACAGTTTTGTCCAGTCAGAACTGGTTTAAACTGATTTTATCTGGCAGGGACCAGTTGTGACTAGTCAGTACCATTTTGAGTTGGTTTGAACTGGTTGGTGCTGGTTTGGAACAGTTTCAACTGGTGAGAACTGGTTTACACTTGTCTGAAACAGTTCAAACCATTTTAAACCAGCTTTAACTGGTCAGTACCAATTTTACTGGTTTTAAACAGAAATGGCTTGAACCCCTTTTTTTAAGGTTTATTTAACCCCCTTTTTTAAGGTTTATTTATACAAGAACTGGGGTACAGGTCAGAGGTGTGAGAGGGTGAGAGAATTCACCAGAGAAAGCGAGGAGCAGAATAGGCAGACGGACTGAAGACACTGCTAAGGGGAGCAGCAGGTGAGGCAGGCGAGGTCTACCATGCCATGTGGGTTTCTTCCTGGCTGGCCGGGAATCCATCCCGTGCCACAGGGGCTGTGGGCAGCTTCACAGCAAGCACTCAACCTGCTGCACCACCAGAGAGGCCCTGAACCACTTTTTTTTCCTTAAAGATTTATTTATTTATGCATACAAAAACTGGAGTACATACCAGAGGAATGAGGGTGAGAGGATTCACCAGAGACAGAATGGGGAAAAGAACAAGCAGACTGAAACACACTGCTGAGAGGAGCAGCGGGTGAGTCAGGAGAGGTCTGTTGTGCCATGTGGGTAGCTCCCTGGCCAGGGATCGAACTCATGCTGCAGTGGCTGCAGATAGCTTCATAGGTTGTGTCTTAACCCCTTGTGCCACCAGGGAGGTCCCTTGTTGTTTTTTTTTTTTTTTTTTATAGTTACAACCAGTTAGAACTTGTTTTATTCAGTCAGAACTGGTTTTATACAGTAAGAACCAGTATGAACCTTTTTCTATCTGATCAAAACTGGTTTGAAGTTCGGGAAATGAAAATATGAAATTTTACAGTGAAGTGTGCGTTGGGATTATCGAGACGAAAATTTAGGAAACTTTTTAAAAGGGTAGAACTATACACTGGAAATCTACTGGCTACTTATGACTGAATCCATGAATAGAAGTTGTATAGCAATACCAAAATTAAAAATAAGTTTCTTTTTCTTCTGATGAACTCTATGATGTTTCAGAGCACATAGTTTTCCAAGGAGCGGAAGTAATTAAAGATTTAACTCTGTGTGTATATAACAGTTTTAAAAATATTTTTGGCTTTACCTATTTACAAATGAACATTTTACTAGGAGTTTAGTAGACATATCCTCATAAAACTAAATTTTGAAAATTTTAACAATCACAAAGTGTGATTTATACTACAAAACTTATGAGGCATGTTTTGAAAATGAGATAATGCTGACTCATTATATTCCACTAAAAACACATTTGTTTCTAAATAGCAAATGGTATAAGCACTCATTAGTTTAGTGTTGAAAGTTTAGGTCCTGAAATTTAATAGGTACCTTTCATACCAAATGTCCTTCTTCTATTATAGTTGCAAGGAAGTGGTTGAACGGAAGAATAAGTAGTTAATACACTCAGATGATACACATTTTCCAGAGTTGTATGGTTTTCCCTAAGCTTCA